TGTACTATGACAACAAACTAGAACGGTTTTTTAAAGATTGCTATTTTTTTATAATTTGAATTATCTTTAAGCAGAAATTAAGCGAAAACTATTTTGTTAAATGGCGTGACACTTGTTTTTTGATGTTATTTTTTTAGAACATATTTTGTTTAAGACTTCTTCAAGTTTGTGGTTTTCGAGTGTTATTGTTTTGAAATTTTCGAAACTATTGAGTTTATAAAATAATGCATAAACTATTCAATAATAGATATTTTTATATAGGGGGTCATACTATTAGTTTTTTTTTGCCATTTTTGATTAAAAATTGCCTAAATGTTGTTGTAATTATCGCCGAATTGTTCAGAAAGAAAACTTTACTCGAAAATAAAAAAAAGTACCCAATTTATACAGTTCAACTGCTTTTTTTTATTTCTTGATTAATTTTTCTTTTTGAAGAAATATGATAATTTTTTAGTAAAGAATAAACAAATTAAATGTTTCTTGAGTGTTTCTATGCTTCAACAATGCAAAATTTAGTCTAGAAAGCATTTTTTCAAACAAACTTTTGTGTGCTTATTGCGTCTAAGCCATTCGAAATATCAAAGTAATTTATTAGATACAATATGCTTAAAATTGTCTTAAGAGCTGATTTTTGAATTCTGGTTGTTTCCTCCCCGGACATGCTGTATAAATATCAATGTTTGTTTGTACTGTCTTACCGTTAATCCAATTGCGATGAATCGTTGTCAAATAATTGATTGCACTTGCGCGAAGTATATATGTATACTACGATGAGAATGTGCGTATGACTGTCGCATATAGACGCGAAATTGAAGCGTTGATTGTGATATGCATTTATGCTAACTCGAGGGCCCCTGAATAGAAGCCGTATGCAACTCGCCGCACCCTCAAGTATTAGGCGCGTCTTCGCCGTATAGTCTGCCCCTGCGATTGTGGAATATCAGCCGGAAGTATTACTTAAACGTTAGTTCGGACAAGTAAACCTAACTCAAACTGTGTCATAGCGAATGCATGCTCAAACTTGAGGAAGAACTTTTTAACAATAGGTTACTTGTGACAATCATGTCCACACCAGGACCTAGAACTAACTCATACTCGCGAGAAAGTCTTTCATCTATTAAAATGTTTGCAGAACATAGTGTAAATCGTGATTAACAATCAAGTAACCAGTAACGTGTGAAGTGTAATACATTACAATAGTAAAGTATTGCCGGGTCCACAAGTTTTAAATGATTTTTAAAATGGATGCATTACCCCACTCAAATAATTACTACTAGTATTAACACCTACGAATGTTCCTCGCTTTTTAAATCATTGGTTTAAAAGTGACTTTCTTACTCGTGTCCCAAATGTAAAATTACAAAATTCAAAATGTATTAACATCCAACGTTTCTGACAATACCTTCTGCGCAGTACGGGTATTCTCCAAAAACGAAATAGAACAAAATGTCTCCATGCTCTTGTTAGTCAAAAATGTCTCATTTCGTAGACTACTGTGTGCCTACGTGATACTTCGTGTGGAACACGAATGTCTGATTTCAAAAGACGCATCATTTCCGAGTCCAACACGATATCTCAGAAGTTGCGTGTTATTTTCCTTATATAATTATATTGTAATAAAATCTGTGAAATTGTAAATGGTTTATTTTAAAACTGTTTAAAGGTCCCCAGGATTAATTTCCTATCCCACTGAAAGTGAGTGTGAGCTCTCTGTGAATTGTTTACGAGTCAGACAGCGACTTTTGTGGAAAAACTATCATATAAAAGTGAATGTATGTTCCACACAAACTTTTGAATCGTTGGAGCGATAGCTCCCAAATTTTGCACGAATATTTTCAAGCTGTCGCGAAAATTTAACAGGGATAGCAAATGAAAATGTTACGTACTCTCAAATTTATTCTTTTCACAAAATTCGGTTCCAAGCAATTCGCAAAGCATCTAGGCAACGTTATTGCCGAGAGAGTCGAGGCAGGCGGAAAGAAAGCTGGAGGTACTGCCGTATTGATTATTGTTATAAGTATTTACTATAAGTATGCAATAATAATAATATTAATAATAATGACATTCAATTTTTAAATAATTATTACATTCCATATTAATCGGAATAAATCAGTGTTTACAATTTCATTAATTTCTCTCTTCTAATCTTGGACTCGATGTAACATCAATGGGTTATGTATATTACTTTCGCGAAGATGCGATTTGATGGAAGAAAGTTTTTAGAATACAACTTACCTCTTTCTTAAAAACTGGCGTGGCGAATTAATTTCATCTAATGTTATCAGTAGCTTCGGGTATCGGATACGAGATTATTACAGTGTACCTTGAAGTAATAGCGTCTTTTTGGGATTTACCACATTATTTAGGCAATTCATTATAAACTCGGGAATACACAAGTGTATAGTTAAAAATAAACATTCGAAGGAAAAAGTGTTTTAACAAAAGTTCAACATTGAAAACAGTTTTCTAAGTAGTGCCATCTGTCTTTCTTGTCCATGCACGAGAGTATAAATGTCAGACTGAAAACGTAAGACTCGGGCGGTTTATGTGCGACAAGTTAGAAGAACTCTGAAGAGGGTTATTGCATTTATATAATTTAAAACAGATTTGACTTTTCTTTGTCTGTAATGACTATGGGGGAAAAAGGAGACCATGTATTTTTAAGGAAGGCAAATTGGAATGGTATTAATCAAAAAAATATTTCACAAATAGGCAAGAAATATTCAAATAACATAATATAAACAACTTAAATAAACACTTTAAAAAAGCCTGAATATCTATAATAAAGCAATGAGTAACACAAATTGAAAGATATACGCCGATATTACCAGAAGAAGATCGATTACATGTTTCCTTGTATACAAAATCTAATTGAATATAAATATCAGGAGAATGATGGATAAAGTATTAAAATATAATTCATAATCGAAGAGGAAACAGTCATTCAACTACTTTATTAGGTACGTGCTGGTGGTAGGAAAATTACTTCCTTATGCAAGGCAGTGCTGTGTCGGTCTCATGACAGCTAAAGCGGCTACGGAGCACCGTAGTTGTCAACATGTATGACGCTCCCCATTTTAAACATGTTTACGAGAAAAAAATTTATCACGCAGTAAATTTACTGTTTTTTTTACTTACATGCGTACATTTTATTTTACTTTACTTTAGTAGCCTTTACAAATAATTATGCTGTAAAAGTGCTCCCAGCCAGCAAAAACTTTTTCTCTGCGAAGGGATTCGATCTCATATCCTTAGATTCAGTACGCCATTTGCGTGCTCCTGCACCGACGTTTTAAAAAAATTGAAAATTTGCATTTGCAATTTTCCTAAATTCAGATATTTTCGTGTTAAAAGATCTAGTATTAAAGAGCAGATTTCTTTAAGGAAAAATCTCTACAATCATTTGTAATTTTGCAATGTCAATTTTTTGTTTACAGTTTTCGAAAATGCACAGATCGTCATAAATGGGACCTGTGTAATTTTTGTTAAGTCTTTTGCTTTATCCGGCTACAATAGCACATACTTTATCGCTTTATTATAACTTGCAATTTTCGAATATTCAGCGAGTTCAAGGAGAATAAGATCTGCATTTTTTTTAACATCGATTAATATACCCGTGGAAAACATGGGAGTCGTTTTAGAGAAAAAATACTTGAAGTTGAAATTATGCCAGCGCTACTCGATTTTTTAATGTGTATGATATTATTTAAAGATATATTTTTTTTAAATAGATTTTAGCAAAAAAGTCGTTTAGCAATATTGTAGTTTTAAAATGTTAATTTTTTTTGCAATTTTTGGAAATAGAGATGTTGCCGAAAATGGCACCAACACCATTGTTTAACCGTCCTTCGCTAATTGCTTGTATTTTACGTAAAATTACACAAAAACGTCTCGTATTTTCGAAAAATTGTACATCTTTTTTTAAGCTCTGCCTTCGAAGAGCATTTTGTTAAGAAAAAAATCTATCTTCGGTACTGAAGTTATATGAAGACTGAAAAAAATTGTAATTTTGCAATTTTCGAATATTTCGAGATTTCAACAAAAATGAGCCCGGTGCCATTTTTAAGCTTCCTTTGGGCTACTCGAGGACAACTTTTAATTTAAAAAATTGGAGCTATTTTTGGAGAAAATTTTGACATGTTTAGGTCACAATACACCGCGCAAAATTTCAAAATACCCTTTTCAATCTCGTAGGGTTTCTAGTTCGTACTGATCGATCGAAGAATGTCAATTTTGGAGAAACTCGTGCGAGCCGTTTAGGCGCTAATGTTTACGACAAACGGACGGAAGGATCACTTGTCAATCAGTTTTTAGGAATCAAGTACCGACAAAACGATTCTGACTGCGCAACATTAAAAACAGGGCCAAACTGAGGTTGCTGTTTCTTGACAAAAAATCGCGTGTTTTTGTCGTAGCATATCAATACTTCATGACTACATTTGAACGAAAAAGGCGAGAAAGTAAAAGGTGCCAAAAATGTTTATTGGCAATAGCTTGCATCACATTCCATAGGGGTATTCTCATTATAAATACACAATTTTGTATTTCAAGCTAACAATTTGATAAACAACATTTCAAAGATATTAGAGGGAGCGTGGACTGCCCCACCACCACCACCACCGAACACTTTCTGGATTCCTCTGTGAATTGATGGCAGTGAAGGAAGGGGCTGTCGCGCCTTACAGTTACTTCTAATGGGACATCGACTGGGGCGTACTTGGGTGTCCGGAGGACGCCGC